GCGACCGTCGATCGATATTAATAAAGTTACATTTTTAAATTATCATTGGGAAATTGGTATTTCGCTATCGTAATAATGGGTTTATCGGTGTTCAATTAACGTAGGTAGATATAATAAAGGCCTACAGCTAGGTACAACAGGTTTTATAATAGTGTAAAATATGGGGGTACGAGACAGATAATGTACATTGTACATGGCTTATTACCGTGTTGTGTGTAGGTGCATCAGACTAAAGTTTTCAGTTAATACCAAACACGCCAGAAGTGTGCACGGTGTGCGTTTTAATATAATTATATGTTCTAAATTGTACGCTGGGATTTTAACGCCCAAAAACCACGTGAGTACTATACACCACTATTGAGTTATTATTATTTTTTTTTTTTAAACCCGTTCACATTCGTTACCTATGAAACTATGGCTCCAAATGCATCACCATTCTTTAATTTTAACATGGACAATCACGCTATTCATATTCAAAAAAATGTCTGCCACAATTTCAATTACAATAGTAAACCCAGTACAATGTCCCTGTTCAGAAGCCGTCTGAAATCAATACGAGAACAGTTTGTAGCTGTCAACAGCCATTATTTAAGGGAAAACGTCATAGAACCAGTCAGTCATTATTCGCCTTCAACTTTTGTTAGAAAGGAAAAAACTGAAAGTACATGGCTGAATGATATGCGATCCGTTTCATGTATGCGTTTGGATCTTATGCGCAAGATGTTAATTCAACAAACAATGAGGGGAAAAATGGAGCTGTGGCAACAGAAAAAAGATGAAATTGCACGAAATAGAAAATTTAACATTTCATTCAATTCAGAATTTCAACGTGATGAAATTTTGATTAAAAAAGAAAATTATAAAATGATTTTCGATCAAATTAAAGAACGCGCACACATGGCAGATAAACAGGCAATAAACATTGATCACCAACAACGAAGTAGAGAAATTTGTTTCAAAGCTGTCTTGACAAAAGCAGTTTTAGTTGGAAATATTTTGAACAGTTACTTCAACGATCAACAGTTAGTATTAAAAGTTGGCAAACAAATCGAGGATTATCGTTCAATGGAGTCAAGATTAGATGTCTTAAAGAATATTAAAGTTGTCGAAGAAGCTCCATTAATTGCTGCACAAAGCTTGTTAAAGGACCTAACATTATATAAAAATAATGTAGTTATGCCAATTCAAGCAGAAATAGAAACATTAAAGGTAAAAATGGATAGAAAAAGGAATTTATTACATATATTCTCTGCTAATAAGCCGGTTGAGCACATGGTTAAAAATGTCAGACGACAATATGTTGCTTTAGTGAAAAATAATAAATTATTAATTAACAACTTAACCAATGTAAGAGAATTACCATTTGGACATGATCCAACAACAAAAATATTCAGGCAAAATGTAATTAAAGTAATTAACACACTAGTTAATACTATATCAACTACAAATGTCACACATTTAACTGATAAATATAATAAGCTAAACGCTTTGTTGAGTGGAAAACTTGTCTGCGTCGCAAACACACAAGTTATGATTGGTGAGAATAAGGAAGCATTGGCATTTTGTATGCAAACTTTAGCTACAAAAATAGTAAACTATGCTGAGGAAGTAATATGTGTGAAGACTCAAGCTGCTTATGAAATTGCAACAATTATAACTAAGCTTTGGAATGTTCATCAGCAATTTGGTAAAATTCTTTTTGCCGAAATGAAACAAAAATGTCCTTTGCTAGTTCCATTTTATTATCCTATAGCAAAACATTTAAATTGTGAGCAGATAGACCATAAATCATTTGGTTACAAGTTTGATTCTTTAGGAAATGTTGAATCTGATGCCAAGTATCTACAGCGTATGACAGGCATTATACGACTTTATGCATCTCTTATAGTTACCTCATCGAAATGTGACCAACCAGTAATTGGTCTAAGTCAAGCATGGATTTTTGTAGCGGGAACATTAAATCAAAACCCAGTTGCAGACATCACAGCTACTATATTGGTTGAATTTCTAAAAATTGTTGGTTTTGCAATGCATCAAGGATATGGAAATCAGTTCATTAAATTGTTACAATATATTAATTCACACTTTTTAAAAAAAATCATATTGGTGACACCCGAAGGGAATGGAGGACCTATTACTCGTTTAAATAGCTTCTTGTCGAGAAGTCTATGTACTGGGTCTATTGAAGAACCTAAAGGTATACTATTTGAATTTTGATAATTTTTATTTTGTATTTAGCATACATTTTTTGATTGAGAACTTTTACAATTGTTTTATATATATATAAAAAAAAAATAATATAATAAGAAAAATACAAAAAAATTAGAAAATACAAAATACAAAAAAAGTGTGGAACAACTAACTAGTTATTAGTAAAAAAAAATTATTGTTGATTGATAAAAAAAAAATCCTTGTTTATTGAGAGAAAAATACTTATTTATTGAGAAAAAATGCTTATTTATTGAGAGTAAAATACTTATTTATTGAGAGAAAATGTTATTATGTGTCTATATAATATATTGCTTGATTGTTAACAGCACTACTTTTTAATTTAAAATTTTAACTTAATTTATTGAATGTTGGATTTTATTTACATTTTTAAAATGGTTTATGTTTATATATAGTCAATGAATCGCTTTTTGATCTGATTATACACAAATATTATTTTAATTTTTTTTTTGGTATTAACGTGTTCATAATATTATGCAACTTATTTTGAAAATATTTGTTTTGAGTTATTTATTTACTATTTTTTTAAGAATTTTACAATTTTGCTGCAACTGAATTTTTTAAGTGTTAATAAAATTAACAGAATGTGTACAGAATACTTGTTTTTTTTTTTATTTAAGTTTCCTCTTGCATTTAAATTTATTTATAGGAAAAAGAAATATCTAATTCAAAAACATACTTGAAGATTGTCATAGCATATTATTAGCAAATACATTAATAAAAACTGGTTGCATAACTTCTTTTAATAATTGCAATTTGTAAATAGTAATTGAAAAGTAAGTCTATAGCCGATTTATTAGGTTGAATAGGAAAACAAATTAGAAGCATTTAATAAAAAGGTTTTAGATTTTTTTTTTTATTTTAAGGACTGCCTAAACAAAACTGTTCAAGATAAAAAACTATGTTGTATACTTGTATATAAGATAAGTATTATAGTAACTTAAAAATATTGACAGACAATACGAGCTGAATTATTAATTATTAAACGCATGCAATCTAAATATTGCAATAAGCATAAAATGTTAAAGTTACATCAAATTTCTTTTACAAATTGTAGACATAGAAATTATTTAACAGTGTTTTAAGTAAAGATATTTTGTTTTACTTAATTTTGATACATAAATATAATATTATATTACTGTTTTCTAATGTTAAAAAAAAAAATATATATTTGTATGAGTTAGGCAATGCATTTGCTAATTGGTCTTTATGTAGTATAAAATACAAAAATTTTCAATTCAAATGTTAATATTTGATGAAGGTCTATTATGTAATGTAAATCAAAAATGGCCTTCACACGGTTATACATAGGTAAAAATCAGTTATGGCTTTTCAACGATCTTTAAGTCATCAGTCATCAAAAATTTCACTGATTTGTAATCAAACATATTATCAAGAGCAAATTTAAATTTTGTGGGATCAATACTATCACTAGGTACGTATTACATTTAAATAGTAAATACATTTTTTATATTAAGAAGTAGAAATAAAAAGCAATTAAATATTCAAATTTTACTTTAATATAAAAATAATTACAATGCTTAAACACTCAAATAATATTCATGTTTTTAGAATTCATAGTATTGGTCTTACAAATTTAATTGAATATTATATAATACCCAAAAATACAACTATGATCAATTTAGTTAATACTTTATAGCTTACTCTTAAGACCCTATTACTATTTTACTCTCTTAAGACAATGCAATTGATCCAAAATAATAATTATAGGTAAGTAGTAAACAATAAAGTCATAAAGTATTATTCAATTTCTAAATCTAAAAACCTATTGACCGTCGATTGATCATAGTTTGTCGTTTGGTGATGGCATTTATGATTTGCCTGCAATTTATATAATATCATTAGAGAAATTAAGTTATGAATGTCGAATGGTTGAAAAATTATGATGTTTACTTACATGACACGTAACATCGTTATAGTCAGGCCCAGGCTCCAAGCTACCCAGAAAACCTCAATAGGCCGGTCACGAGTGTTTGGGCATAACTTTATTTTAGGTTGATGATGAGAAATTAGTACAAACATTGGTAGAAATTATAATTTAATGTAATTATTAAACTATACATTAGCTGCAATCAAACATAAGAAATCCTAAAACTCTGTCAGCTTACTAACTAGCGATGTACACTGTAAAGTATATTATGGCTAATATGTATATACATAACTTATGAAAACACATAACTGGGATTATTATAAATATTTATTTTTTAAATGTTTAAATACAATACAGCATTGTTTTCATTTTCAAACACTGCCTAGTGCCCAATGCGGAAAGATCCATTCTTAACTAAGTAAATACAACATAAATATGTGAATGTACCTATTAATTAATTTAATTTTACTTAATATTATGTAAAATAATATAATATAATAATAAAAATATAAATATTGTAATATACCTATTGGCTATTACTATTGCTCTATTGTCATTCAGTTACTGAATTTCAGTATAACCCATCGAAAAATCAAGGGACGTGTTATCACTTATCAATTTTTCTAAAGAAATACGACGTAAATATTAAAGAAGTACCAGGACCAGGATTACTTGCTTACCTTCATTACTGGTAACAATAATGATAAGGCAACAATTTGATTAAAAGTCTTGTCAATAAGTGAAAAATAACAGCACGTGTGCGAAGTGCTAAGTCGCTAAATAGTAAATGCTGATGTATTATATTTTAAGACTACCTAGTGTTTTTCAATACTCAAGAATTAAGGTATACTAATAAACAAAATAATATCATCTGCTCAATATGCCCAAAGTTAAAAAGGAGAAGGGTCCTAGTGACTATGGCAGACAAGGTAATTTTTTCAAAATATTTTTACTTTAACATTTTTACTTCATTATCTTGCTACTTGGTGTTTAAAAATGGTTTTCGTAATTCGTTTGAACTTACTTGAGTAACGTTTTCCGATAATTCATAACTATTACTACTATTCATAGTATTACAATTAGCCTTGATGCTATTTACTCACCTCTGGGCTCCTTTTATTGGCAACAAAATTCAGTGAATAATGAATTGTTTCAGTTGTTGATAATTAATTTTTAATGTTGATCTTCATCGTATGTATTTTAACCACATAGGCCTGCAGTGAATTAGTAGTGAATCATGTTAAGCTCCTAGAGCCGCTAAAATAAATGCAGTTTAGTTCCCACTCTCCATTTTGATTTTTTTCAAAAATAATTAATTATTATACTATATGATATATATAATGTTAAATATTATTATATACCGGGTGATTCTTGTATCAAACGCTTGTTTAGATGAGTGGAGTGGTACGGGGTTACCCCGCAAAATGTTTGTCCACTTCACCACTCATCAAAACTTGGAATATTTATAACTCATAAACCAAAAACCAAATTCGATTTTCATGAATCAAAATACTAAAAAAAATATTCTGTTTTGGAATATAAAATTAAAACCCTATGTTGTCATTCAAAAAAGTAAAAAACTTAAAAAATTATAAGTATAAAAAACATTTTAAAATATAATTTTTTAGTAAAAACATTCTTTCATAAGCGACTTGAAACTATGTAAAAAATTGACAATTTTTTGAAATATTGAGTGTTGTTTGATAAAAGAATCACCCGGTATTATATATACCAGCTCTGGGGCACTCAAACTCGAGGGTAGGACTTCTTGGTTAGCCTAACCTATATGGTGGGAAAATACGCATAGCACATATACAAAATTGCAACATCTTTAACTCCATTAGGTAATAACATTGAAACTATGTCCGAGCAACAAATTCTGATTGTTTCATCGTTTATAACTTGCAGAGTTACTTAAGTTCCGATAAAAGAATTCAAATTGGCGATGGGGAACTAAACTGCATTTATATCGAGTTGCCAATTCTTATGGATAAAATTGTTAACCCTAGTATGTTTTTAATTTTTGGCCTTAGAATAAGAAGATGCTCAAGAGTCAGGACATTCAAAATAATACACCAATACTTTCAATATAATATCTAATAATTTAAAAAACCTTTTTTTCTTATTCAACATATTTAGTGGGTTAGAGATTGAAAATAAAATTATATTGGTAGTTTATCACTTGATTAAATGTTTTGATCAATTATGTATAATATAGGCATGTAGTCCAATATTTTTTGTTATTAAATAGTGGCAGATAGTGAAAGAATACAGGATATTATAACAATAAAATACACAATATTAATGTTATGTTAATTTTCAGGAATTATGTTCAAAAAAGATTTTGGACAACATATATTAAAGAATCCGCTTATTATTCAAGGAATGGTAGAAAAGTCAGCTTTATTACCTACAGATACTGTACTTGAAATTGGCCCTGGAACAGGAAACTTAACTGTTAAGTTATTGGAACGTGTTAAGACAGTGATAGCTTGTGAAATTGATGTTAGGTAAATTTACTTGAAATAATATCTTTGGTTTAGGTGTTAAATAGTTAAATCATTAAGTATTAATTTTTTTCTAAATATATAATACCTATTTGATGAATATTTAACCAAAATTTATATAAAAATGAATCAATATATTTTTAATGAAATATGGAAATTTATTATAATTTATTGTATTCTTAGGTTAGTGGCTGAGTTGAAAAAGCGTGTTATGAACACTCCTTACCAAAATAAATTGCAAATAAGAGTTGGAGATGTCCTTAAATCTGAACTACCATTTTTCAATGTACTTGTAGCTAATATTCCGTATCAAATATCATCTCCTCTGGTTTTCAAGATACTTCTACACAGGTAAAATATTATGAAATTTTCCATTAAGTTGACACAAAAAAAAATTAATTTACTTAAATAGTACTTAAACAAGTGTTATTGATGTCATTTACTTTATATAAAGAGAATAATATAACGTTGTATTCTTGATTGGTACTTTTAACAAAAACAAATTATAACTTTAAATTTCTGTACAGGCCTTTTTTCCGGTGTGCTGTACTTATGTTCCAACGAGAATTCGCATATCGTCTTGTGGCCAAGCCTGGAGACAAACTCTACTGCCGTTTATCAATCAACACACAGCTATTAGCTAGAGTTGATCTTATAATGAAAGTAAATTATAGATTTCTTTTAGTTTTTAAATATTTATTTATTACTAAAATGTATATTTTTTAAATGTTTTAGGTTGGAAAAAATAATTTTAGACCTCCACCAAAAGTAGAGTCCAATGTGGTGCGTATAGAACCTCGTAATCCACCACCTCCCATTAACTTCAACGAATGGGATGGCTTAACAAGAATTGCATTCTCCAGAAAAAATAAAACATTAGGTGCAATTTTTAAACAAAATGCTGTTGCAGTAACATTAGAGAAAAATTATAGAGTTTATTGTTCTTTAAAAAATCAAGTTAGTTAAAAAAAATATTTTTAGTTTTAGTTTAAGTACTATCCAATGGAGAATTTACCAGAAAATATTTTGAATTAAAATTTATATTGAGAATTATTTAAAAATGATGCGCAAGTCACGGGTTCCATCTGCTGGCCGCCCATCCATTGGCATTACAATACACACATTTCTTCAATAATGTGATTTCAAATGTAATATATTCTACTATTACCTAATAATTAATATATACTGAGAAATACTGCTGACGTGGTACATAAACGGTATAAACAATATTTACTCTAATAGTTTTGAACACTAAGAACAAATTAGAAAGTATATCAAAATTATAATCACACCAGCCTCATAAACACAAATGCACATCAGAATAAATATAAATAAAATAAAAATGTTTGGAAAAAAAACGATTGGATTTGTAGTATGTATTTGTACTCTGTTCAAGTTCAGAAACACAGGCAGCAGTGCCCCCCCCCCTTCAGGTTAGGTTGGGTTTTTTTTGCCCTTTAAGAGGACACTACACAGATATCACGTTTGTCTTACAAGTGAATAACATAGCAAATTATACGCTCAGCAAATCACGTTTGGCTCTGTTAGTTTAAAAATTAGAGTGAGTTGACCTCTTATGAAATTTAAAGGTAAGATTATTATCCTGGGGATCTCATAGGCTTTTTATTATATTTTAATTTTAGAGTTATGAGTATTTTAAATTTGTAAATTAACAGAGATTAACCCATTGTTTTATACACGGTACCAGATATACTACATGTTTATGTGTCTATTTGTAAAATATTATTAACTAACAAAAAAATATATATAATTTAGGAATGTAATAAATGTTTTCTACCTTTAAGATTTATTATTTCAATAGGATGTTGGTATCAAATTGTAGGAAAATATCTAAGCTTGTATTGATATATAAATAAAATAATGAAGACACTTCAAGGAAATGTGTGTATTGTGGGAAGCCAACAGATAAACCCATGACATTACGTAGCATTTTTAAATGTCTACTAATCAGAGAATATTTTCGACTATTTAGTTTTTAGTTATGTTTACTAATGATTTAGCTTTTGTAAATTTGTTCTTGGATAGTCCTTTACAATTTGGTTAAAAATAAAATGTATTATAATATTGCTAATTGCTATGTTTTTTTATAAATATATTAATTATTTATTTTAAAATTAGGAAATAGAAGACAATTTTGACATTAAACAAAAACTGGATGATGTATTAAACAAAAATGATTTTTGTGAAAAAAGAGCAAGAAAAATGGACATTGATGAATTTATTGAGTAAGTAAACCTTGGCATTCATTTTAAATTCAATGAACGGGAAATTGTTTTTTGGGCAGTAAAATAATTTCATATTTTAAAACCATCAATTAATTGACCATTAAACATTTATGTTGTATATAATATATGCTTAATTTTTTTTATTTTTTTTATTGTTTTAGATTACTACTCGCCTTTCATAAAGAAGGAATTCATTTTCAATGAACATAAAAAAAATCATTTTTATTTTAAAATTGATACAAATTGGACTTGAAAAATAAAAAAAATTGTTCAAGGATAGAATCCATTTTTTTTATAAAGTTATTTACAATTTTAGTGGGATTTCTAAGTAATAAAAATTAAATTAATGTTTTGCTTAATTTTTATATTATTAATTCCCCTTTTGTTTTGTCAGTATAAAAATATAATAATTCTTTTTGTAGTCTTCCCCAAATAACTACATGGTTATTTGATGAACGTGTCTGTTGTTTATCAGTTATTGGTTCCCAAACTTGTTTCTCTGAACAGTAATCACTTATCATTTATAATTCAACAAATTGTATTGAAATAAACTATATGCATTATGCACGTATTCAGTATTGTAAACTAATAAATGTAGCTAATTTTAATATAAAAATTATTTAAAAAAAACATTAGCTCATTTATTGAGTTTAAAGCGTCATTACTATTATTCCAAATTATCTGGTGAGGAGTGTGCACTGTATATCTGTATATTGTGGGAAAAAGTTATAACTAATTAAATATTTATGATGGTATCTAAAGAGCTAAAAAAAATAATTTTTATAATTGTTTATTAAGTATAATAATTGTATATCTTATGAAAATTAAAAAAAGAATTGTGTGGCTTAGGTATACTTTCATGAAGCAATAAACTATTATATGTAAATAAATTATAATGTAGATTAAACTTTATCCGCTTAATTTTAGTATTAATATGTACATGCTGCTTTGTGAAACTAATTTTTTACATTTAAAATATTTAATTACAAATTATGAAGTCATACTTTTTAAATATAAGAATACATTTTTGAAACTTAAATTGTGCATTAAGTTTAATATATTGGTACACATGATATAAATTTGGATATTGGCCCTTCATTTTCTATATCGACTACTAAAATTGTTAACTTTTCATCAGGATGGGCTTCTGTTACCACTAATTTGATCATACAATTAGTGAATAAATATTTCCATTTTAATTCTGTCCTTTGGTTCAAGCTCATATTTTGAAAATAATTTACCTGATAAAAATATTATATAACTAGTAATTACTAACTATGATTGATAAGTTTTATTTATTTTAATAATTGTTAAACTATTTTATTTAAGTTAAATGAAATATTAATAATTGTTTAAAGATAGTGTTTGAATAAAGAGTTTCATTATTCTTTCTAAATTTGAATAGCGTCAATACCAAACTTATTTCTCCTTTTCAATATTACTTACCTCGTTTAATATTTTGGTAGCAACTTGATGATGCAATATACAGTTTTCTAGAGTACCCGTAGAATCTGTTATTGATAATTGAATATTTAATATACTTTCCAATTCATATGATTCAGTTTCCATTTCAAAATTAGAAGTACATTCTGGATTAAGACACATTAAGTATGTACTGTTCACATTCATACCACATTGATTACTAGAGAAAGTGTTTCATACATTTAAGAACGGTTTATTACAATTTTAATTTAGAATAATAAAATTACTTGCCACTTAGTTAAAACCAATGGAGACAGTCCATCAATATTAAATTTGCTAACAATTGCATACAAGATAGCTGTAAATTGTCTACTAGTTTCATTAGACTTGACTAAAACTCGTTTACAAGTCATGATGTCTGTTATAGTTGACACTGAAAACATAAATAAAATATTAAAAATATTAGCTGGACAGACAAGTATTCTAAACTAAATATGAAATTTTTATATTTTGCGTGTTAGATAAATATAATAATATTTCTAATATAGTGTAATCGGTAACTATTATAGTGTGAAATAATTAAATTTTAAAATATTTATATTATGTAAAAAATAATAAAAAGAAAAACTATAATATGCATGTTTGTTATGTAGAAAATATATAAGAAATCAACAATAGTACAATGTGCAGTATAGAACCACATATATTTTTCTTCAAAACTATTATAACACTTAATAGTTACAATAACCGTAAACATAAGTATTAATTACAATTGGGAATGTTAATGTTTAATTTAGTTGACAGGCCAGTCAAGTGTGTATTTGCGTAATTTTTTAAATCGTTGGCTTCATTTGTAACTGGATCTTCGGTAATAATTGTTTTATTAGAAACAACCGCTGTCATGCTCCTTTTAAAAACATTCCATTCCAAGTATAAATTTGAGAAAGACAAGACTAAAATACAAAAATATAATCAATTAATTATGTTTTTCCTTTTAATTTAAACTTAATGATATGCTTAGTTAATTTTTAGACATAATGGGACTTGTGAGTTATGGCAGGTTATAGGTACTAATATAACTTAGAGTTAAATTAAATTAAAATATTTAAAAAGTTATACCAACTAACTGATATACTATGTGGTATTATACTATTATGGTATAAGACGATTTTTCAATAAAAATATTATCAAATAATCTTTCAACGAAAAGATGATATTATATAGGTACTTAAAACCTATTTGATAGTTTTACAATAGGTCAAATTAATATATATATATTTGTTAGTAAAAATAGTTGATATATTTGAATTTATCTTATTGTTATTTGTTATTTATGTTTCAATGCTATAAAAAAAATCCTTTAATACCTAGGTATATTCAATGAAAAGAAAATGTTTCCTCGTTTAACTCATGAGTCATGACTTAACAGTATAATTTTATATTTAATTACTTGTTTTTTTTGGTATCCATTGTGCAGCTCTTTCTGATAGTTCCTTATCCCAAATTCTTACTACAAGTGTTGGGTATGTTTTATCCATGACAATAATTTCTTTTAAGAACGCTTCCTTGCCAATTTTGGTTTTTATTAATTTAGTAAATTTTACCTTGATATTAAATTAGACGTTAAGTATCACTTTTGCATTTTTGATAAGTTGTCAGTTGATGATAACTTACACATCTTACTGCAGCCAACAAACAACAAAATTTCCCACTCATCTCTTTTCCACTAGAATGGATATCCTCAATATTAATATACATGTGTCGTGGACATGTAGGAATTCTGAGAAGATATTTATACTTCAAAGAATCATGAACATCATGTAGCAACATTTGAGATGACATTTCATTTAATGTTAAATAGAATGGTCTAAATATTTAATAATATGAAATTAGATGGGTAGGTATACATACAATAAAAGTAACCATTTAAGTCATTAAGTTTATTAGTGTATTATATTTACCTAGAACTTTTTGGCATATATTTATCTTTGATACCCATGTTATAAGTAACATTTGTATTAACTAAGTCAACTATAAACATAAATAAATAATTTAAAAAACTAACAGACAGTTTAATATATATTGCATATTATTTTATATTTACCAACATCTCCAATTTTAAAATCATTATATAAACGTGTAGTATAATCATTAGAACCCCAAACGCTTATATTAACTACATCTTCTGGGGAGTCACGTATAGTAAACGAAAAGACAGATTTTTCTTTATTATCTGTTAAAAAATTTATAATTAGGTAACGCATTCATATTTTTAGTTAATTAATTATCTAAAATATTTATTTATTATATAATAATTAATAGTACATAGATATTTATAGTCAATGTTTATACTGAATTTTTTTTAATAGTTTTAATTATAAATTATAAACCAAACATTTAATTATTATGAATGAAAAAAAATGTTTCAATACATGGGTATTGTTTAGGTTTTAGGAAGCTAATGGTATATATTTAAATATGATTTAAAACATACAATTATACATAAATAATTTATTCAAATTTAAAATAACATTATATTTGTGTTTATTGTTTTATGTTAACAGACAATAGTTTGCTCTAAAATGTTATTATTTTACCTTGTTTTAATACAATTACTTTAGGATTTTGTTTAGCTATAATAATCCCAACTACCAAAATGTTTGTTGTTCCTGGGAAAATTGAATTAAGCTTCAGTTTCATAACACCGGTATTCATTTTTTCTAATTATTATTTAGTAATTCTAAAGTACCTATATAACCTAAACAGCATAGATAATATAATTATGAATAAATAACATATTTAATATTATATAGGTAGAAAATAAATAAATATAAATTATAGAATACCTAAGAACGGAATATTTAAGAAAATTTTTTTGAAGTGTTCTATGTGTAGATGACAGATGTGTTAATACTTCTTAAAATGTTGTTACTGAATAAAATAAATTGATTTATAAATATTGGATGCAATCAAAAATTAACTTAATTACGGGGTGATTTACCAGACATGTTCACCCTCATGAACCCATATTCTTCTTTAATAATGAATTTGAATAATTTAGATTTTTAGAGTTATTATATATAGGTACATAAAGACATTATTGAGGAAAAAAGGTGGTGAGCATGCTTGGTGAATCATCGATCATAATGTAAAATTTTATTATAACTAAACTCAATGGTTCAATATATAGGTACAGGTACCTATTTATACATATATTTTTATAGCGCAGGTATCAATAATTAAAATATAATTATCGAAACTTATTTGAAAAATGTATTAACTTTTTAGTGGTTTAATAACTAAACCACTAAATTTCTATATTTCTTGACGTCTTTTTAAATGTTACTTTCAATATTTAGCTCATAAGTTAATTTAATTACCAGTAATACAATTTTACAATTTATAATAAATAATATTAATATAGGTTACTACATACAAAATATAAAGGCATATCAAACTGAGCAGTGGCGGACTGAACTTACATTTTAAATGATGTAATTTCATATTTAAGTATTTACCACAACCTCACAATACTATAATAATATACAATATTTACTTTTAACAAAGTTAGGTACCTATAATGTAAATTCAATATGGCTGAAAAAAGTTGAGCCTTGGCACAAGACCTTAGAATACCTTTGAATATTTGACAGGACTGTATCTAAATTGAGTCTTTCGGCCCGCCACTGAAACTAAGGGATTCAGATTTTAATCAACTTCGAAGACAGATCTGCGTCTTCCTAATGGTTAGTATTTTAAAAGGAATTTTAATTTTTCCATCAAAATTTTCAATCTGCACTCTGCAGCCCAAATAACCCAAATAGGTAGGTACACTATATTTTGTGTTAATTGTTCAACAATTGCCACCACAGCTGTTACTATGTAGGTACCTATAATATTTAGAAATATACCCGGCATCAATGACAAACATTATAGGTAACGTTATTGGCATTTGTCATAACATTGCAAGGATTTAGGTACCTACCTATAATTTTGGTATAAATACAATCAAAATATTAAAATATAATATAATCAATGGACATAAAATTACTTACCTTTTGCTTTTGGTGCAGGATTCTCGCAGATCACAGTTTTATACCCGTTCCGTACGGATATTAAAGTCATAATTTAGAATACAGATTGATGTATACATTTTATCTCGCGGCATGTGCTAGTTTAGACCAAAAAGTTTAATGGATTCAAACTTTAAACTTCAAATGTCAATAACTTGTTTAGCTAACCTACCTCACGATTCGACAAGAAAATAAAAAGATTTTGTGATGAATTTTAAAAACCGTACCGACCGCGACGCAGCTTTGGTATAATATGTGCGGGTGAGTGGTAGTGAACCGGATACCGGAAACCGGACTTTCGAGATAAATAACCAATAGATCGGTCGATGACCGGACTTTTCATATCGTATTTTTTTTCATTATCTATGTGCATTTTAAGTTTCTTCAGTCACAGTTTATTCCTAAATACAGGTACCTAAAGAGCCTTTATAATAAAGGCACTCTACAGGTAGGTATCTACTTAAGAGCACCTACTACTTAAACCATGATATAAACAGTTTTTATATCATGACTAAAACTGTGCTTCAATCTTATTCTAGCATAGAAGACGATAGACTTTATTTTGTTCTGTGCCTCTATGGCTCTATGTACAAGTCACGAACTAAATATATCTTAGTTCGTGGTACAAGTTATCTTGTAAAATGTACAAAGGTGTATTTAAATCACGGCTTTAGATAATAATTGAATAATACCATTGAGTATAGACTATAGATACTATCTATACTCATTACAATGATAAGGTACCTAAATAATATCTATAACCTTGCTTAAAATATAAATCATTATGAAATATGAATTACTTTAAGTACGACGTAGGTACCTACGACCTACGTCCTACTACATTCATATCACGGCTAATTTATAATATAATATTTTTGGACATTTTACGCGTTTAAAATATTTTGGTTTTTCTTTTTTAATTGTCGCTTAATAAATTAGGTAGGTACTTATTAGTTATTGTTATACATAGCATTATAGCTCGACCATTATAATATATGTAGGTTGTAGATAGAAGTACCTATGCAAGAGAAATCAACGTCTTCATCGTTTATTGCCAAAATATGTTATGCCGAGTGCCCAAGTCCCGAGTCCTGAGTGTGAACTAAAACTTGTCAATTGACCTTGTTTTCATAGGTATCTATAGACAATACTTATAATGACTAATGATTGTACTGAATCTAAAATATAAATAAATGCATTTAAAAAGTTTGAAAGAAATTATAGAAAAATGTTCACAACATTTTTCTGGAAGAGTAACGACATATTAAAATACCGGAGAAGTTTCTCTGCTTTATTGTAGATTTTGAGTGAACCTCGTCATTTAGTACCTATTGATATTATAAAGGATATTATGTTAAATTTGGATTTTATCGATAAGTCGTTGCAAAAAAAACTTTTATGAAAAGTGAGCGGAGACTGTTTGTCAGTCTCTATTTCTTAGGATATTTTATAATTTATTTATCCTAGGTAGGTATTATTTGTTGTAGGTTCGGTATGTTGAATTTATTTTAGCTATAAACCTAGAATATACCTATTACCTATTATATTATTGTCAATATCGCGTACCTACAGCGTAGAATGGTCATGGTGTGAATAGGTTCGTGTTACAAATAGATTAAATTAGTCAAAATATTTTGAAAATATATTGCCCAGTACGTTATGAAACATATACAAATGTAGAAAATAACAATACATAATGGCAAAAAGTTTAAAGTTCTCAATTTAATATTGTTTTAATAAAAATTGGTAGGTACCTATATTATTATATAGTAATAATAACTAGTAAAAATTATTATATCAAAAATTGAAAAATCAATATTTTAGCAAATTTAAATTTAAAATGTCTATGAAAAAATGTTGGGCTCATCAATTTATTAGGTATAGGTATATTTTAGAATACGGTGTAATTAGTTTAAAATAAATAATGATACACAAAAAATTGAATAAACAATTTCAAGATTTAGTCTCGATTATTTTAGCCACACATACGTACCTACATCATGATACTGCCAAAGAATACCATTTCCATTTAAACGAAAAGCTATTCTTTTTATACACAAATACTAAATAAGTACTATTTTAGGAGATGAATTATAATATGTAGGTACTTACTATGAATTCTTGGTATAATACTATTTTAAAGAATAAAACTCTTGCCAAATATTTCGCAACTGATCTAAATCTACTACCTAGTTTCTTACTTTAAAAGTCCAAAATAAAAAAATTGCATATCAATAAGGCTTGTCATTTGTCAATATCAGAGTAGATAGTGACTAGATATCAGTGTTATTATATAAGTACTAAAGGTTCAAATAAGAATTTTCCAAAAAAGTTATCGAAACGATTGTAAAATATAATATATAAATCACATATTTTTATTACAGATGTACCTATTATTGTTTTTAAAAATAATTTCCAAAAAACGAAATAAAAATTAAACGGATAAGTGGAAGTCACTCTGCTGAACAGTAGGTTACAAGTGGGAGCTAGTTTTAAATGTTCAATGCTTAGCTGTAAATGTTGAATATTTTATAAATTTTTAACTAAAAAACCATTTTTAAATTTTTAATTTGATTCATTTTGTCCAAAAATTTCAACTTTAAATGCTTATAAAAAAAATTATGCTTTTATGCCTATATATATTTAATATTTTTCAACTGCTATTGTAACAATATATCAGTAGCCTTGTATTACATTTTCAAGTTTTTTACCCAACGAATACATTTATATTGACATTTATTTACAAAAAAAACTAATAAAATTGGAAAC